ACATAGCAGAGCAAAAAAAATAAAAAAGTAGGTGAATGATTAAGAAAGATCGACAGGGAAAAGATTACAAACTGTGGAGATAAAATTGCAAATATTAATTAGAATATTGTTATTATAATAATTATTAGTATTATAAATTAGATAATTTTCAAGATATTAAAGATTAAATGTCGTAGCATATTTTGTTAGGTACGTCATAAGCTTTATTTGAGCAAGAATAATGCAGATTTTGTAATGTTGCAATCAGCATGGTAAGCATTGATTAGTGTCAACAAAGCGATGCTATTCTCCTCATTGAAATCGTGTTTAACGTTTCATGTTGCTCGATCCATAATCGCTGACTCGAAGATTTCAATGTTTTTGGATACAAGGACCGTATTTCTTCCAATCAAAGTAATAAATATTATATTGTGAATTTTACATCATATTATGTGCATTTATTCTGAAGTGGAAATTCTTTAATCTAAATATGTACTTCCAGTAAAAAAAGTAAATGTTATACCGAAATAATTTCTTAAATTTCATACTTTGTATACAATTATTAAATTGTAAAAATGTAAATTGTATTATGACACGTAATAAAATTAACTTTTAAAAGAGAAATAAATAAATAAATTTCAAATTTGAAAAATAGAAATTTAAGAAATATAAAAATCACACATTATTTTTGATTTTAATATTGTTCAATATTGCCACTTTTGTTTACTGCGATGGACTAAGGCGGCGGGTTTGCGTGACATTTGCGGCATGATCTAGCGGTTGTCAAGTGTTTGGCCGAGAACCAGCCGTCTTTCTGGTTCGATACGGAAACATTCGATGTCTGGACCAACAACATCTTGAAACACACGCACAACAGAGTCTGAGAAAGAAAGTACCAACTACCGGTAGCGGGTCGATGTCCGGCGAAGGCCGCTAACGATGCCTAATCTTTTCCAAGAAGTTGTCACAACTCGTCGCTCTTCTGGTATCGGACCGCGTTTATAATTAACAATGAACTTTTCAATATACTTATTTATGCTCGATAAAAAAATTTAAGATATAGAGAGATTTATACGTGACTACTGACCGTCCAGTTATTTTTCAATACTTTGTTCCAGGATAAAACTTTTCTATGTACCTAATACAATTTTTTAATTTTTTATTAGATAAACAAACTTCATAGTTTCATTGTTCAACCCTAAACTTATATTTTAATTGATATATCAGTTATAATATATTATCTCATATTAAAAAAAAGTATTAATTGCAGACGATATTTTACTATATAGATATTCATAGAAGATCGTATAAGCTAAAAAAAATTTTTCTAAATTTTGTTGTAATATTATAAACTCACTTCACTTGTGTCAATCTTCTTTCTATTCATTGATTTGTCTGTTTTCATTTGCTATCGATTCTTTTCCTATAAATACGTCTAATAAAAATGTAGTGAATGGAATAGATTTACTTTTCCTTACATTAAAAGATTTTATAGTTAGATGGTACCATATTCTATAAGATGTGCAGTTCATCAGACTAAGTAGAAAAAATCTGGATTGTTTTGTATTTTTTATTCAATAAAAAAGATTTAGATACGAACATCGAAGAGATCTCGTGCATTAAACATAATAGATCGTCTATCATGTTTATCATATTTAAGTGGAGACGTGAACAGTACGCTATATACGTCGGCTAATTAATTAGAAGAATTAATTAGCATTGTCAAGTAGCATAATTAATATGCACAAGCGAGGCATCTTCCTCCGGATGTTGATGCACGAAGATGTGATTTTCGGCGTTACTCAATACGCCGCACCTTCTTCGACCACCTACGGTGACAGTATCAAATTAGTGAAACATCGAACATTATATATCGCACGAAACGCATATTAAGAATCTCCTTTACTAATCAATGATATTCATTCTTCAACGGTCTTTCATTCAGAGTTCTTAAAACTGTATCGATTATTATTGAGATATAGTAAAAGAACATTTGCGCAATGACGTGTGCGTAAGACTCCGTCTAATGCCGTAGACGTGGTATTGCATTTACGATTCATGACGGTTCTCAATGACATTCCATTTAATCTATTCATTCAGTGTTCTTGACTTTACTACTTGACTTCTATTCATTGATGCAAATTTTTTTTGTTAAAGCTATATGTATAATCAGCAAAAGAGAGAAAGAGAAAAAAAAAGAAATTGCATAATTTTTTATCAAAATATAGGAGAGAGTGCACTATTATTTTCGAAAATTATCCATACACTGAAAATGTACAAAAATATGAATTTTATATTATATAAATATTAAAAGTTGTTTCGAGAAGTTTAAAAAAAATTAATAATTACATATTTATAATGATACATAATATGCATAATTAATAAAATATCGATTTGACACGTTGTACGAAAATGTATCTCATAATATTTATTATATTTCGTATTAAATCGTTTAATTAAAGGCGTTTTCAAATGTAATAAATGAGAGGTGCAAAGCAATGAAGTACCTTTATATTTTTGGGCGTGTGCACCACGCACGCGATATTAAATCACATCATTGGAATGAGCACCTATCTTGTGTGAATCCCGACGATCGTTTCCGACAGGAAGTCTGGCCAAAGAGGAAGCCCCGGACTGCGTCAGCAGACGTCGCTCTCTAGCGTACACCTTTCATGCCAGCTTGTGCCGTTTCAACTACATTCAAAACCTTTTGCATTTGCTCGCACGAGTTCGCCGACAAAGAACGTCGGCACGGAACCCGCGCTGCATTTTTGATCATCCAACGCTCTTGTCCGCCTATATTGTCTCGCCGTATTGTTTACTGTTACTTAAAGGTCAGTTGCAACTTGATTGAAGCGCACTCATCACTTATATTAGCAAAATTTTCCGCTCTCAAATTTTGAATCGTGAAAAAAATAGTCCTGTTTATTCTAAAAGATTGATGTGCTCTCTATATCTCTCTCTTTCTTTCTCTCTCTTTATGGAATAAGTATAAGGTCGCAAATTTCTGTAAAATTGGCGTCACGAAATAAGGAATTTTATAAACTATACAATGTACATATGTGTGTTTCATGTGCTCTTAAAGAATTCAAAATCAAGAGTGCAAAACTCGGAATAGCCACGCGATTCGCGATCGTCGAATGCCGCCACACCCTTCCGTGCCGCTTCCGCCCTTCGTTGAGAGATGTTTGCAACAAATTGGAATCTCCCTTGCCCTTCCTTTCAGTAATTGGCAAGCGATGCACAGGACGTTTTTCTCGGTCCGGTCCCGATCCGTAATTGCGACTGACTGACGGACAAACACGCCGTGTACACGCATAGATGGAAGTCAACCATCCTGATGTTAAAACGATCAGAAACATTCTAAGCATATTACCTGTTTTCTATAAGCACTAAAAGGTTATAAAGAACTAAAGAGCTTATTTTCAAAACCAGTTTTATCCATCTCTGAAATTCATTTTTATTACACAAAAAACTTAATAATCCATGTAAGAATGTTCAGAACATCATCGCTTGATTTAATTTATAATAGGATAATTTATAATATACGATAAGGATATTTCAAAAAGCATGTATTTTTATAAATAATATGATAATGTGGTAGAATTTTAATTGGTTGATTATAAAACAATTTTGAATTTACGTTTGCAAATAGAACGTTTCAAAAGCTTCATGAAAATATTATACGAAAGCAGTCGATGAATTATTATTCTTCGGTAAAAGCTGTTTTTTCCTCATTTTTTCCTCTATTTGGTTGTTTTAATTATTCTACATTTCACTTTCAGATCGCCAATATCAATGACAGATGAATGATTTATTCGAAACGGACATAATTGCTTGGTCACTGATTAATTTTTATAGAGTGATCTTTTGTGCATAAATTTGATCGATTTTTTATTATTCTAGCCCAGTATAATAAATATTTTATACTTTAATAATTTTATGAATATGAGAGCAAAACGATTGAGGAGAAAAGATATAAAAAGCTTATTTATTTACTTTGCGTTTTTTGCATTTTTGGGAGTAATGCAACACATTTGATCGCTATTGTATAAACAACGAATGATTAGATTAGCATTTACATTTCTAATTTGCATTTTTTCGTCGACTTAGTGTCCGTAGCTCATTCATCGATCGACATATGATATCGCGCCGCGGTTAGCAATCGAAATGACAAAAACTCGATAAGGTCCAAGTAAAAAGATCACGCACGTGATCGTGTATGTTGTGCCGTCGTGTATTATTAGCAGGTAGCTTGTTAGGCGGTCGGTTTGTGGATAATGGTAGGTATTACAACACGCGACTGTTATTAACCCTTCTATACATCTCCTTCGGTCGCGTAACGTCACCGTAAGCCCGTCTTTATCTCGCCTCCTCGTTCATTCGCTCTCTAGAGGAACACCCCTATACCGGCACAGACAAGACATAAATCATTATTCATAATAAGCTCTCGCGCGACAAAAAACCCGTACCGACAGATCTTAGCTGCGCTAAATAATCGCGGTCGTAGTTCTCGCTCCACCGGACATCCCTCTCCCTCTGCTTCTTCAGAGAGTTTCGAGACGATCGTTCCGCAATTAAAGGATGCCGCTCTCGGGATTCGAATGATATGTCTTCAACTCATTCTCGAATCCCCATATAAGTGATACTCTCATTTTATAGAAATATTTCGAAACAATATTTCGAAGGAGCCCATATATGGAATACGGATGCGTGTAGATATAATAGAAAAAATATTCAGTTTCAAATGATTTAACATTTCATTCATTTTTCACGCGGTGTTTTTAACACCCAGTATCTTTATTCACATTTTCACTATGTTTAATTTTCTTGAATTGATGATTCAATAATTAATTAATATACTTATATTTAATAATATATTTGATTCAATAATTAATTAATATATAATATATTTAATAATACATTAATAATATACGTATTAGCCGAATATAATACAAATATGAATCGCTTTACTTCCGATATGATAGAGTTACTTTCTCCACATCAGTACGTCTTCGGGCGTCTTTTTGGCGTTCGCATTTTTTTCGAAGCTCGAGAGAATTCGCGACAGAAGGGATTTCGTCCGAGCGAAGATTTAGCATGGTGAAGAACACGTCTTTATTTTAGCAGTCAAGACATTCCAGAAAGAGGCGCGACGCGGACCGAGGACGGAAAAGACGCGTCCTCGTCAGTCGCGACATCATGATATGAGGAGAATCAACGACACGGTGGTACGAGGGGGATCGACGTCCTGGAGGGCGTCGCCGTCCTCGCCGTCCCCGTTCTCCATCACATCGTGTGGGTCCGAGCGTTCCGGACATAGCACCGCGTCCCCGCGATCGTCGGCGTTTTGCTGCCTCGCGACCCGAGTTTTTCGCCAGGCTCTCCTCTGGCGGTAACTCGAGAGGCCTGGCAAGTCGAGAGTGCATTACACGCAATTAGACGCCAGGGTGGCCTCAAGGTATGCCCGACAAACGGCCTCCTCCTCGCATCTCCCTGCTACATTGCGTTGCATCGTCGCGTTTTCCTTCTCATTTCTCTCTTCGTCGCTTCCATGCCGCGCGCTTCACCCCTCCTGCACTCATTTCCCCTCAGTGATTCTTATCGAGTTATCTTTCCTATCTTCGATTTCCTGAAAAATAGTTTTATTGGATTAAATATTGTAAAATTTTACTAAAAGTTTTCAAGATCAGCGACAATAAATGTGTACAGTTTTATCTATCATTTTATATTCTAAGCACCATTCGATAGCAAGATTTGTTCCTTTGATTGAAATACATCGTTCATTGATTTAGAGACTTAAAAATAAGCTGCTATAAAAGGAGCAAATTATCATAGAATCAATATCTAAGTAATCTCTAATAGATTAATAGAGGAAAAAGATATATATTTTAAAACTATTTAATAATTTTTTATTGGACTTATGGACTTCAAGCGTGTTAATTTTACATGTATTTTTATATCATTCAATAGAAGAAGCATATGTTCAAATAAGTATCATAAACAAAAATTTTAAGTTACGCGCTATTTTATATTTTTTAGAATAAATTGTAAACTCGGCAGCAATTTTTGCATCCGTAATTAAATTGAATGGTGGTATTCGATTGCTTTAATACGACAGTTCTAACGACAAATATGGATGTGATATGCGTGTTGGTCTTCTATCCCTACAAAAATAAGAATCTAATTATATTTGCTTGTGTGCGAACACACATGTTTCACGCTTTTACAGATAGTCAATGGAAGTAACTATTGTCGATAGCATAGCACATATAATGCTGTCGTCGTGTAAGAATGAGGTACGAGCTACGTTGAAAGAGAGAAAAAAAAAGAAAATGATAAATGACGAGGGACATAAAGGGAGAAGTTCGTATATAAAAAGCGATGGCACCGTTTAGTGCAAGATACATTGATGCGCCTTAAGAGTAACTACTATTGGCGTAATTAATTTAATTTAACTAAAGGACTAACTAAAGGAGCGGCATTAATTTATTGCGCGAGTTCGATGCTTCTTCCCTTTACGATAGAAACCTTCTTCTTTTCTCTTTGTACTTAAATTACAGTTGTGCGCTCGCCAAGTTTCCTTCTTCCGGGATTTCCATTTGTGCAAGACTTCTTTTACTTCTGTGAATGATCTCAGTTATGATAATGAAACTTCACAATGATTAGATTTCAATTTATTTTTATTCAAAGCTCGAGCAGAATGAATCTCGATGTGTTACGAGTGTGAATTATGTATGTATGTAAATATTGAATCGCTTGAACAAAGAATAAAATTGACATGCAATAAAGTTTACAAATTTATTTATAGAAGAGACAAGGCTCGTAAGGTCCATAGTTACGGAAAGCGTCATCTGCTCGCCAGATGTTAATTATTCTGAAGGTAACTATATGAATCGATTGTAAGACTGCCAGGAAACTAAAGATACCAAAAGTTATAAATGAAATTTTTAGTGTGAAAGCGGATACTGGATGCATGTGTAAAGAAAAGTTAGAAAGAAAGATTAAAAATATTGCTAGCATGCAGGAATACAGAAACAGGATAACAGAATGGAAAGATAGTCTAAAAATATAGATATAGTGAATGTATATTTATATATAATATATACTATAAAATATTTATAAAAATTATGTTCTGTGTGAATGTGTATATAAATATATGTGTGCGTGTATGCATATGTATATATATGATATATATCTATAATAGTGGCAAAATGGAAGACGTTAGTTTCCATACCTTCTTTTGACTCGATTCTTTGTCAACTATATGTATAGTTATATTTAAAAATAGCACAATAGTTCTATGAAATAATTCGGGCAGTTGGTATAATATTATAATATTATAATAAATATTATTTTTATTAAAATATTTTTCAATAATTAATTAAGTACTATCAAATGCATGTATTATTTAAATATATTCAACAAATAATTTTTTAAACACTTTTTGTTTAATGATTTTCTCTTTTTCTTTTTATTTCTTTGCAGTGTGTAACAAAATTCTAATATACAATTCACGGTTCTAAAGTCTGTTTAATTTCGAGCTATTTATAACTTATCGAATAAAAGCTATATTATTAGTATTTAAGATCTGAATGGTTTTTTTTCTAAAATTATTTGTATTACCGACGTGATTATTGTCACAATGATTGTTATGCGTCCGCGAAAACAATTGACAATTTATCTCTTTTTTTTACTTTAATATAAAAAAGGATATATTTCTTACACAGGTTGAAATGTAAGATACGAAATAATTGCGTAAATAATGTATCATGAATATATATTGCACCATCGTCGACCGATAATTTGCGTCGCCATCTGATTTTCACAATTGGCTTGATAATCGAGGTCGAGTCTACCTTCATTATTAAACGCGTGTATACACTTGACAGATTGTAAATGCACGCGATATTAACAGAAAAGTAAATTTGCTTGAATAGCGCGAAATTGTGGTTCAACCATGAGACCATGAAATGCATGTCTCCATGGACTTATGTTAGTGTATTATAGCGACTTATCTTGTTGATAGCAAGCGAGTTGATAAAAATTTATTTTTTTAATCCGTATCTTCTATTCACTTTTGCATGATAATAATTTGAAAATCAAGAAGAAGTTATAACGTGTTAGTTTTAATCAACCATGTATTTTATTTCTTTTAGTAATGTAAGTAATAATCATAATATATGTTGGAAATAATAGTCTTTACACATATAAACTTTCTTCTTAACTTATATTTAGATAACATGATAAGAAAACTAGCGTCTACGAGCCACAGCGGATGGTAAATGCCTGAAAAATTCTTTTTAATTGTACGCGAAACCCGTATAGGGGGGTAAAGAGGGTTTTATAGAATTTCTCAAAAATGAGAATCTATATCTTGGTTAAATGCACCAAGTAAAATATATGCATATGCCCTGTTTTCGTTTAAAATTTCGCGTACAATTAAAAAGAATTTTTCAGGCATTTACCATCCGCTGTGGCTCGTAGACGCTAGGTTTCTTATCATGTTATTTAATATATAACGAGCCTAATTCCTTTCGATTTAGTTATATTTAGATATTTTTATAAATATCAATCACATTTTTATATCAGATGGATTATACATATAGTTCTTTTTGTGCTTGCCAAAATGCGTTACATCTTGATGTAAATTAGGAAATCATTGTACATATGTTATAAGGCTTATTGTTATATATATTTATATTTTATGCCTGAATTGTATATGTGCTTACAAAATGTCCTAAACATATAAGCTATTGTGCAGCAAACAATGTTTGCTAAAACGTTTTATTTTGTATCTCAATTATCTATACATTTATTCCAAAACAGAAAGCATAGAAGAGAAGTTTATATATTCATCTGATTTTTCATTTCATATATATATAGAAATAAAGTTACAAAAGAGTTTCAAAAAAGTTACAAATGAGATTGACTTTGACTTTGGATATAATCTCTTTTGGTATGGATCCCTTTTACAATAAAATGTAATTCCATTCCGAAATGTTTTTCAAAAGAACAATACATTAAAACTATTATTATTTCTTAAAAGCACATATGGTTTCCAAGCAGAACTGATTTGAACATTTATGCTTATCTGCATTTACCAGGAGCCTGCTGCTTTATTTTTCCCTTTGTCTTCAAGTAAAGCTTACCTACGTCACTACGTCATTGCGTGCAGTTATTATAATAATTATTCTGTGTTTTCTGACATTAGAATGAAATTGTTTAGCATGTGTTTTCAAAATTTATTTTATATGCTTATTATTTTATTATATGTTTATTATTTTATAATGTTGCCATAGCAATGCTTGTCTCAAGCATGATCAGCAGAGGATTTGAAAGAAGAGCTGATCGATTATGCTATCCATTTAAGAGATGCAATGGCATCGGCTATTGATCCAATTAGTGCAGTATCTGATGAACGAACGAACTCGAGGTGGCTGAGCAATTATCACGATTGAGGCAACTATATAAATTTCTTAGTACCGGTGTGACTGCCGGCAAGCCGATTTACCAGATTAACTGTCCACTTGTGAACAGTCTACCAGTGAACTTTCTTGCGTGATCGCGCAGTGCTCACAGTCAGCGCAAAGTCGCTAAAGGATATTAAATGCTTTCCTTGTAGGTTGACCGATGATTGCTCCAGCGACAGTTACTATCTGGAAACTGTCGCCCTCTCCTCGCATAAAACGGCAGGGGGCACAGAGTAACTACAGTTAAAAAGCGTTGTCTAGCAAAAGGTTACCTTTGAAGTGAGACTGAATATCCGACATATTCCGTGTTCTCACGCCTTTGCTACATCATTTCAGATGATAGCGCTGATAATATTTGCAAGAATGTCTGTTGAAAAGATTTATTATGACGGATTTATTATTACGATGGAACTTGTTGAATTCTTTGAGTAACATCTTAGGTTCCATCTTAATCTTTTGATGTAGTATGTTTATTTTTATATCATTTTATGCGCATATTTTTATTAATCATGTTGTTTGATTAGTATCGCGTTTATGTACATGTATAATATATATTATTTTTTTATTAATAAATTAATAAATTAATAAATATTAAAATCGAAAATATGATTTATAATTGTATCATGATTATCACATAATCTAGTGCAGCGAATATCTTATAACCGTATAGTTAAGTTTATTTTGAAATAATACAAGTAACATTTACCACAGTAGAATTTATTTGGCAGCGCGCAATGGCAATGATCATATGTTTAGAAAACAACTTTGTATCACTATCCCTGATATTCGAGAAACTTCATTCGTTATTTGAATATTGTAGAAAAACTAAGAGATATATAATTATTATTTATGTGATTCGATTTAGAATCAATGAAATAGATGACGTTAAGGAAAGACGTAAGAGAGAATAGTGCTCTGACCTCTTGCGAGCAAAAAAAATGCAAATTTGCGTAGGAGGATCTGGCTTCTGGCCAAAGATCGCTCTTCTGTCGGTTACTTGGCTAACCGTTTTAAAGTGATTCGCGAATAGCTTCTGGTTATCCTACAACCACCTACGGCACCGCGAGAAGTTATTGTCGTTTGACTGATGTGATGTGCGCGTTTCGCGAAAGGTGATATTGATTCGCGTATATAGTGTCACACTGTCATTTGATTCAATGAACTTCACGATTCCATTATTTTTGATACGTGAGATTGTAGAGCCTTTATAAAAATCGATATTTTTAATCGCTGAATCGTGCTAATTTGTGTATATTAAACAATATTATTATTAGCATAAATAATGTAGCGTGTATTAATAAATAATGTAGTGTGTATTAATGTAGTGTGTGTTTAAATCAGTTTAAAATATGTAAATGTAAATCTTTCTACAATTTATATCAAATGGTGTGAAAGCAATTTTCTTTTAATATAATCTGCGAATGAAAGTTATATACGTTTATGTGAAATATAAGTTCGAAAGCAGCATTCATCAAAGAAAAGTATTATCGAAGAAAAATTATTCATAAGATTGAAGACGCAATAAAAAGGTATCTTTTATTATACAATTTTCATGTATTTTTGAATAAAATAAAAAATCTAAATAAATTAAACATTAAAGTACATATTTTTATAAAATATTTAGAATTATTTGATACAAAAACATTTCATTTAAAGTATAACATTAAAGCTACTACTTTTACTACGTTTGATTGTAATACGCATACACACACCCTAAGAAAGACTTATAAGCTTAGTTCTTATAAGTTTAATAAATATATATTTGGTTAATCTACGTGTGTATTATTTTTCTTATAGAATCATTTTACAATTATTTCAAAATATTTTAATCTAGTCGAAAATAACATGAAACTTTTGTTTTATAATACAGGACATAAACCAATACACATTATATATTACATTAATACATATTATTAAATTCATTGTCTGCTAAAATTAAAGATAATATTTAAATATACTAAATATACTAAAATTAGATGTTTAAATGTATTAAATATACTAAAAATAGATATTTAAATATACTAGTATGTGTGTGTGTGTGCAAAATGCATTAAGAGATAAACCTAGACAATTTTTATTTTTAATATATATTTATTACTGTTATCATGTAACAATATCTTATCTCTCTGCTATTTTTGTTTAAATATTTCTTAATCTCAACATAAATTTTTTCATATTTTTTATTTTAATATTATCCTAATTGCCTTTATGTATTCAAACATTGCAAAAGTACCGGTGTAATATTAAATAATTTAATTTTATTAATAATATGAATAATAATAAATATTTAACATTAAATTTTTCACGATGAAGAACAATAAGAACACCTGCAGCTAGAATTTGTTATCATCATAAATTTTTGCTGGATAATGTATGATTAAATACATTAATTAATAAATTAATACTAATTTCTGTTTTATTAATTAATGTAATTAATATTAAGTGTTCAATTAAGAAGATGTTTATTAAAAATAATCAGATTAATATATCATTAAAAATTATAATATAAAAGAGAAATGAGTCTTGATTTTACCAAATTTATATAATATTTTATTATATTTATTAACGCAATATGTTGCAACATATCATATCGACAATAAAACAAGCAATGTCCATGAGACTAATGAAAGCCTTGTGCTAAAAATATTTTCTTGATTGTAATGTATAGAGTGCACATAGAGTGATAAAATATAGTGATAAAATATACGACAAAAAATGTATATTAATCAAACAATCTTGTTTTCTTTAATTTTTTGAATAAAATTTGTAATTTATTATATGGGTATGCATATGTGTAATTAATAAGTATTTTAAAATTATATATTAATATTTTAAATTATATATTATGTATTAATTATTTATATATGATTATATAGATTTCACTTTTATTTATAACAAATATTAATATGTTATACGGTTATATACATCAATGCTTATATATAATAATTTTGTAATCACTATTTGATTAATATAAAAATATATATACATATATATATATTGATTTTTCTCTTTTGAAGATACACTTTTTTATACCATGGAAGAAGACGTTAATTCAGTAAAAGAAAATAATTATCAAAACTGTAGAAAAAAAGAAAAACCTGGTATAAGAAATCTTTTTAGTAACGGTAAGAAAATACTATTTAAAATATATGATAAAATAACAAATAACAAAAGATTGTTTCTTTATCAAATGTTGAACTTTTTATCATTGTAGCTTGGCGTAGAATAAAGATATTAAGTGGTGGAAACAATCTAGGAGAATCTGATACTGATGAAAATCATCTACACAGTATGTATATTATTGCCTATATTTTGTAACAATTAATTTTTTATCGAAATAAAATATGCAAATTTTTAAAATATACTATATAAAATATTTATCATATACTAATAAAAAAATATAATGTAATTTAAGATAAGATGATACTTATCAGCAGTTGGCATGTAAATCTAATGCAAAATAATGTTAATTAACTTTTAACACATCAATTCCTAACTCATTTATTTATAATTTTGAAATGCAATGTAATATATTTATAAATAAGAATATTAATATTATAAAATATTTTAATATTTTTTGATAATTTTAAATGATATAAAACATATCGCTAGATGTCTCTACGAATCATTTTGCCTCTATATTTAATTCTTATCAACGTACGGTAATTAGAAGATTAAAAAATATAACCTTTTCTATAAATATATTTTTTATTATTTATTTTTACTATTTATTATTACTAACATGTGTTACAAATAATATATATATGATAATAAGAATAATTCTTATTATTATATTATAAATATTAATAATTATATATGTCCATTTTTTAAATCTATATATACTAATTTATATATTTAGTTTACTTATTTATATAAAAGTTATTTTTATAGATTCATACTTCACTTTAAGATAAAAAGATGCAACAATCAAAAAATTAATGTTACTTTCCTCATATGTTATATTTTATAGAATATTTTATAGAACATAATCTTTCTTTTCTTTCTTTATATATCAAGTACATTTAAATAAAACCCACAAATTAATCAAGAAAAAATTTGAGACTTGCTAATGTATAATATGAATACACATCAATAAATGTTTATTTTTCTGCATTTAAAATACTTTATATATTAAATATTTTCGTTTTAATATTTTTTAATGTTTTACAAACACATGATGCTATTAATCCAACATTTTTGGTGATATATTGCTAATAGTAGAACTTGTACGAAATTTTTCAATATATTGATTTATCATTTCTATAGATAAGACACATGAAATATTCAAATATTCCAAAAGTTTAACTGGAGCTGAGAGTTTCTGTATAGTTAAAGTTTGTATACTTAAAGAGAGAGAGAGAGAGAGAGAGAGGGGGGGGGGAAGGGAAAGAAAATAAACCGTCAAATTTGTCTATGAAAATCTAATGTAAATAGATGCATACATTGTTATAGTAATGTCCATACGCAATGTTCCAGACGCGCATATTTTTTTCTATAAATAATAGATTTTAGAAACTAATATAAATATAAATATAAATATAAATATAAATATAAATATAAATATAAATATAAATATAAATATATATATATATATATATATATATATATATATATAACATAAAATACATTTATCAAGATTTTAATTCCTAATTAATATACATAAGAAATAATTGCATTTCTCGAAAAATAATTCGATATACTGAACCACGATGTTGCTGAACAAATTTCCTTCACGAATATGTCAAGTCAAACACGTATGTCAACAATAATATACTACACGCAGCCGAATACCATGTGACAATTAATTAATATTTCATTCCAATATTGAAGGCTTTATTTTATTTATTAATATTAGAAGTATCTCAATATTTGCATATATTTGTTGTATGTTTTACAATAATTATTTAACAGGTATTACGTTTGTTCTGTATCTTCGTTGTTGGAAAATAAGATAAGAGAACATTTTACAATCAGTAAAGTCTTCTCATAGTTGTTTTTAACTTTTCTTTTTATTTTTTTCTTGTCTTAAGACATCTGAATCACCACCAAGCAGAGGCGTTGCCATGATACTATTTATCTCCATCCTAGTGGTCTTCTTATCTAACAGAAACAGCTTCCACGTTTCCATTAATTCTAACCGGGAGCCACAATTAACTTCGCCTTTAGAGCGAAAATGAAAAAATCATGCCGATTCTTAACTGTTTACAGCTATGCCTTCCAATGCTTTTCTTTTATCATTTTAGCTGATGGATGACCGTAAATAAGGTAAAATGTCATCTGAGAAATTACTGCTGTTGGAATTCTTTATGTATCTTATACAGCTCTTATAAAGATTCCACTTTTTACTATTTCAAGTTAATTTGTATAATTAAATATAACGCTTGAACATACAGGATCAAGATATGTGCTGCGCAGACACATACATAATTTATATTCTTAAAAATATTTTAGATTTTAAACATATTTTAATAGCTAATTTTTGAAGCCCTAATTTAAGCCATTTCTCTATATATTATTCACCTTTTATGTTTCTGTGCTTTCAATTTTAAAATTCATTATTCATTTAAATATGTACAAGATAATATAACACGCAATTAACATGTAAATTGCAAAAGTTCAAGAAGCGTAAGAATTAATTAATTTTAATATCATGTTAAATTTAACTAAATAACAGCAAGTAGGATCATTTTCTATACTTGCGAGAGCTTATCTTTGTTTCGTTTTTGCATTCTTTTGACGGAGTGTTGTAAACAAGCAACAATCGTGTTATATCCTCAGGGTAAATTACTTAGCTCGAAGGTGCTTTCACAACTATGACGATTGTCGAGTTGAGATCTCTGTACATGTTGCAATCACATAAGTCTGCAGCCGTTTATGTACTAAGCATATGTTGAATTATAAAAAGCACTCGCTGTTTAAAATATTCTCGTGGGTGAAGCAATCTCAAGTGAAGGCATTTGAATAAAAATATATGTTGTTGTTATATTCTGTTTATTTTTAAATCAGATATACCCATGTGTCTCAACCGAAAGATATAGTCTATTTGTGCTCCTCATTTTAATTTATGGCGCAAAATATTGACTAGAAAATCAGTCACTAAGATACAAATCAGCGGGCAATGGAAAGGGCGATGCTCCAGTTATTTTTCAGAGATACAGGAGCAAACAACATCATAAGACCAACAGACTTCTATATATGATATCTAGATTGCTAATATCGAAGAGCAATCATTTACAATTGGACAGAGTATACAGATTGAATTACATATACGTATCTATATCGCATTTCAATTTATCGGCAGTTATTAAAATACAAGTTATTTTCATGTACTAATAAGAATTGATTGATAGTTTTACATATTGATTGATATTGATATTCTAGATTGAAATTCTGCCCCTTAATATAATCATTATATTCTGCCCAATTGTTAGCAGTCTAGATATAATATATAGAAATCTGCACATGAAACAAAGAACAGGAGTTCAGTCACAAAGGATGTTATCTTACACTAGCATGAGCAAGTCACACATTGCCACAATACAAGATGGATTAGGAAAACATTAAAAAGGGTATAGACATGATGTTGTCAGGAGTAGAGAACGGTCTCCAATAAGGTGGACAGATGATTTAAAGCTATTTAAATAAACTGAAGGCGGACAGCACAAAACAATATAGAGTGACAGAATTTACGAGAGGCTTATGTCCAACAACGAATTCAATGGGTTGATTAATGATAATGACAGTCTTTTAATATTTGAAATGCGCAAACAACAAAGTAATGAAATATAAAAAAATATAAAAAGAAATATAAAAAGAGAGATACAGACAGATAAAATTTTTTAAGTTAAATATTTCTTTTGAATTAAATATCACTATATAATAAATTATGTTACATATAACTCCAAAAATGATAGATATATATTACTGCAACATTTTAATAAATATTTATTTGAAGTAGCCAAAGAACCTTAACATCTTAAATATTTAATGTGTCTTTAATTTTAATAGCAAGATATATAATTGTTTAGTCGTATCTATTTTTTAATAATTTACAAAAATAATATTGAGATATATGATTATTACTATTACAATAATAAATTGTTAGCAATAAAAAATTTAGATGGATTAACCCGACATCATTTTTGAACGCCAACAAATTGATAATGACAAACAGGATACATTTCTCAGTTCTTCATAATCAAATAAATATTGTAGATGTAAATTCGATTCTCGATGAAGATAACGATATATCCTCGAATCCTCTCACATTTTATGATTTCAATTTCCCTGCTTCGTTGCCGTCAATGAATTTCGTAGAGTGTGCTACGGCTGACAGAAACCAAATGGAAGTTGAGAATTGCAAAGAGAAATAAACCATTCATTCATTTCTTTCAATGTTTAAGAAATATAAACGTGTGATAAATATATTAGGGCAAGTCCTACTTATTTTTTTTTCTTAAATGGCTTGTCATTGAAAGGAAAAAAAACGTTTTTTTATCTAGTTTTTTGCCATCGTAAGAAAATAAAATCCTTTATACTAATATTATTGTTTAACTTTAAAGTATACCATTTACCTTTACAGAATTGCAGCTTTTAAAAATATTTTCGTATTAAACAATATAATTATACATATCCAAGTTTGCAACGTTAACTTGCAGCAAAAGCACTTAGTGACGTATCTTAGTGTATATACACACGATCTAAGATCGCTTCTAACTATGATCGTATTCCGTATCAAAGGGAGAAGCGCATTCCATTTGATATGCTGTGGTCTAAATTGGTCTCGTAATTGCCCTGTCATTGCCACGATCCAAATTTTCGTTGGCAACCGGTAGCTTTCACATTAAAGCCACTGCGGTTATCGTAAATTGGAGCAGACCCGAGAAGGTGTGCGGCATTCACAGATTTTGCCACTTGGGAACTTCCGGTATCATGGCATGGCGATATAGTTTAAGAGGCAGATTAAAATTGACCCTGGAGGCTTAGAGCATTGACCTCCAACTTTAACCTTTGTCACTTGCATATTCTATGTGTATCATGATACATAAAAATTTATATCCAAAGCTCGTGCGACAAGTGATTTTATAAATTTATATCTATTGTGTTATTAGTTTTTTTTTTATTTTTAAATAAATATATATATTACATGATTTTTTCATAAAAATATCTTGCCGGATTCGGCAAAAAGAATCTAATTAACATCACGTTTCTAAATGCATATATTATTTTTGTTTTGTATGTATATATTGTTTTTGTTTTCGATATGAAAGGTAGGTAATATTTCAAATC